GAGGAGGAGGAGGAGGAGGAGGAGGAGGAGGAGGAGGAGGAGGAGGAACGGGAAATGTGCTTCCTTATCCCAGCACTGTCTGCATGTCTGCAACAGGACCGCGACCATCTGCCAGAAAGGAAACAGTTAAAGGAAACGTGGTGCGTCCACTTGGTGGAATATTATGAGATCATTAAAGTGGTAATTGTGAAGACTGAGGAGGAGCATGGAAAATGCTTCTATATTAAATTTAAAGACAGACTACAAAATTAAAACTCTGTTATGGTTACAAGTATGCAATGGGAAGAAGGTACACAAAGGTAGGAGAGAATAGAGACACATGGTAGAAGCCCGTGTGCGCTGATATGATACTGTTGCTTACTACAACCGATCAGCTGCTACAGTGTTGTCTGTGTAACAGATGGCTGCTGTTTAAGTGAAGCAGCAATGGAAAGAAGACAGGGAGGGGAAGGAAAGTGAGTGGGGGGGCTGGCTGGTTTTATGTCAACTTGCCACAAGGTATAGTCCTCAGAGGAGGGAGCCTAATTAAGAAAATTTTTCCATAAAATTGGACTGTAGGCAAACCTGTAGGACATATTCTTAATTAGTAATTGATGTGAGAGGCCCCGTCCATTGTGGGTGGTGCTATCCCTGGGCTGGTGAACCTGGATTCTATAAGAAAGGCTGAGCAAGCCATAGGGAGCAAGCTAGTAAGCAGCACCCCTCCATGGCCTCTACATCAGCTCCTGCCTCCTGGTTCCTGTCTTGTGTGAGTTCCTGTCCTGACTCCCTTTGATGATGAGTACTGATGTGGAAGCCTAAGTCAAATAAACCCCTTTGCTCCTCCAGTTGCTTTGGTCACGGTGTTTCATCACAGCAATAGCAACCCTAACTAGGACAGAGGGCAGGGAGGAAGAAGAGCTGAGAAGGGAGGAAAACGAGATAGAGAGATTGTGCTTAGAAGGTTGAGCTATATAACAATGTGACAGTCAGTGCTGTTTAGATGCTTCTTTCTAGACCCTTCGGGCTCACAAAGTTCTCACTGCGCACGGAAGCTTGCAGCCATCTCTGGTCCTCCCTGACTATTCCTTCTAGTACTATCTGAAGTCCACCGGAGAGCTAAGGCCACTACACATGGCAGTCTAGCGGAGTGTGGAAGGCACAGACATAGACACATGCAGAACTATAGCAGCTACTGGAAGGCACTAAATTAAATATGTAATCTGCTGGAAGTGGAAGATGTAGCATCCCAGAGGGCTTCTCACAGTAAGGACATGTAATGTGACCCTCAAAGGGTGGGCAGGAGATTGCTAGGCAGAGACACTGGGGCCTAAACACACCAGCACCACATACCTTACCACTGAAGATGACTAGACACGGGGTTCAGGAAGAGCAGGGGCAGGAAAGGAAGTCTTGACTTATCCACAGAGCAAGGAGAAGGAGAAACACCTGAGAGTTACATCAGAGCGAGAGCGCCTTGATTAGTTGGGTAGGGCAAACCCCTGGGATGGCGAGATGGCTCAACAAGATGCCAAGCCTGGTGACCTGAGTTCAATCCCCAGAGTCTAATGGTAGAAAGGCAAAACTGACTCCTGCAAGTCCTCTGGCCTCTCCCCTCCCCCCAACACACACACACACACACACACACACACACACACACACAATGTAATTTTAAAAATTTAAAGAGTGAGCCCTTTGAGGCAACGAAGAACGCAAGCAGGAGTGGAGCAGAAACATCCTTAGGTAGAAACGATAGCATTTTCCATTCGCTCAGTGAAAGCCTTTGGAGAGGTTGAAGTCAAGGGACATCCTAAGAGGGTAAGACAGACAGAGAGACAGACCCTTACAGACCAGCCTGAAAACCACACAACAGAGTCAAGCCAATGTGGTCACCACAGTCAGAGATGATGGCTGTGGGCAGTATCCAGGCAAGTTTAGAGGGGCCCCTAGGTTGCAGTCTCATGCTTTGAGGGAACTGGGAAGGGGCACAGGGACAGAGGGAGCTGTCAGCTGCGTGGGAGAAAGAGGCAAGGAGCTGTCTGGAGGCAATGACCATCTTTACTTGGACTTCTGGCTCGGAGCATTCTAAAAGCACAGTGACCTGAGGACCCAGTGATCCTCCCCATGAGTCATTTGCACAGAAGTCTCTGGAACACTACCTAGTACAGTGTCCAATAGATACCAACTCAAACAGAGAGCATAGAAATGCACAGCAGGGTTCATATTCATCAGTACCTTTCCCCATCTCTCCATGACACATGCCCCTGGCCCTGAAAGGCTTTCCAGAGGAGGCTTTTGATGAAACTATAACTCAGTCTACCTTAAAACTACTAGGAGGGTGGGCGGTGGTGGGGCACATCTTTAACCCCAGCATTTGGGAGGCAGTGGCAGGCAGATCTCTGAGTTCAAGGCCAGCCTGGTCTACAGAGCGAGTTCCAGGACAGCCAGGGATACACAAAGAAATCTTGTCTCAAAAAAAAAAAAAGACAAAAAACTAAAATCCCTATTAGTATGCTATAACTATACAGGTGCCTGCAGTAAGAAGAAGGCCTGCAGTGGACAGGAGAGGAAGAAGGGTGGAGGCAGAGAGGTCTCAGTGGTTTGTCCCCAGGAAAGATGGCTACATGAAAATGGAAGAGCATGTTCTACAGGCCTTGCAAATCATATTCCTCGTATGATGCTACTGAGGAAATTACCAAAATTGTGCATGTTTTTGTTCTTGTGTTCAGGACTTTGAATGAGAATGTCCCCTATACGGTCATGTCTTTGAACATTTGGTCCCCAGTTGGCAGCACTGTTTGGGACGGCTTAGGGAGTGCGGCCTCGCTGGAGGAAGTTCCTGTGGGTGGAAGACACTTTAAGGTTTCAAAGGTTTGCCGGTCCCAGTGCTCCCTGTCTCTCTGCTTTTTGCCTGTGGTTTGAAGATGTGAGCTGTCAACTTCCAGCTCCAGTCACCACTGCCTCCTGCCTGCCACCCTGTAGTCACCACCATTGCGAACTCTAACTCTCTGGAACAAGAAGGCAAAATAAACTCTTTCTGCCCACAAGTTGCCTTGGTCCCAGTGTTTTGCGGCAGTAACGGAAAAGCAACTGATACATTGTGCTTCAGTTCTGAGTTAGCAGATACTTCGGCAGAGGCTGAGGATGGAGACACTGTTTATGGTGAATTCACGGAAACTTACTAGAAAGATTTACTGAGCTGCTAGCCCAGAAGAAGGGCCAAGAGAATTAAAAGGCTTTCAGGGACCCAGCTTGGCAGACTGCAGATTTTAGGGCTATTCGAGACATGTAAACACTCAAAGCCTGTTTGACACACTGCCGCCGCTGATGTCCATGTTGAACGCGTGGCCCTAGGGCTGACCCTGGATCTGCACTTGTTTCTCACTGCAGGACCATCTGCAGCTGCAGAGAAACGGAGCACCATCTGATGGGCCCCGGATCACATGCCAGGAAACGGACTCAGATTTGACAAGTATGTGTTTGTTTCAGGCTTATTTTTTTAAGAATATAAAAAAATATTCTTTGACCATTTTGTACATGTATCTTGAACATACGCACCCCCAATACCACCCTCATTCCCCCAGATTTTCCCCAACATGTCCCCTTCCCGCCTCCATGCCCTCTTCCCTTTTGTTAATAAGCTACTGAATTCAACTAGTGCTGCCTGTATGCATTTAGCATGAGCAACCTCACAGTGGCCACAGCCCCAAAGAAAAATGATTCTCCCTCCCTCCCCTAGCAGTCACCCGCTGGGAATAACTCCTCAGCCAGGGTGAGGCCTCCCGAGTCTCTACACGACTGGGATGAGGGATGCTGACCGACTGGGTCTTGTGCAGGTGGCCACGGCTGCTGAGTCCGTGTGTGCAGCAGTCATGTCAAGTCAGAAGAGTCCTGGGGCAACTCCTCCTGGATCCTCTGGTCCTTTAGTTGCTTTGTTTTCTTTTGTTTCGAGACAGAGTTTCTCTGTGTAACCTCCCTGGCTGTTCTGGAACTCGCTCTGTAGACCAGGCTGGCCTCGAACTCACAGAGATTCACCTGCCGCTGCCTCCCAAGTGCTGGGGTTAAAGGCGTGCGCCACCACCACTCAGCGATCCTCTGGTTCTTATTTCCACATCATGGTCTGTGACATTCCCTGGCTTTAGGGGGCTTGATATAGACTCCCCACTTGACACTTGATAGCCAATGTTTTCAGCACTCTGACAGGCTATGAGTCTCTGCATTAACTGCAGCCTGCTGTAAGATTGAAGGTAACCCTAGTCTATGGCTGTAACGTAGCAGTTTGATAACATGCCCACTTAGCATAACAACAGTCATCAGGCAGCCAGGGACTATGATTTCCTAGCCTGTGTGTTTATTTGCTTGTTCTTAAGGAAGGGTCTGGTTGACCAGGTTGGCCTCCAAATCACAGAAATTTTGCCTCTGCTTCTGAAGTGCTGGGGTTAAAGGTGTGTACTGACATGCCTAGCTCTTCTTCTTCTTTTTAAGATGTTTTGTATATGAGTGTTTGCTTGTGTGTGTGTGTGTGTGTGTGTGTGTGTGTGTGTGTGTGTGTGTGCAGCATACATATGCTTGATGCCCTCAAAGGCCAGAAGAAGGCATTGGATCCTCTGGAACTAGACTTACAGATTATGAGTCAATATGTAGGCACTGGGAACCAAAACCTGGTCCCCTTCAAGAGCAGCAAATGCTCTTTAACACTGAGTCATCTCTCCAACGCCTCGCTATGTGCTTTTGATCAGGCTTACAGAACCAGGTAAAATCCTTTCTGCATAGCTGGCCTCAAATTCAATCAGAAAGCCTGCCAGGAGTGGGGGCACCCGCCTTTAATCCTAGCAGACGAAGTGGCAGGCAGAACTCTGTGAGCTCCAGAGTTACACAGTGAGACCCTTTCTCAAAAATATAAATAAATAAGAAGAAAAGGAAAGATAGAAAGGAGGAAATAGAGAGAGAATGAGAGAGAAAGGGAGGAAGAGAGAGAAGGAAGGAGGAAAGAAGGAAAGAAGGAAAGAAGGAAGGAAGGAAGGAATTGTGCCTTTCATAGAGACACTCAATGAGGTTAATTTCAAAATATAAAAATGCAAAGCAAGATGTACCTCTTGGTGCCATGGTGGCATGACTACTATGGAGGAATTTAATGAGGTGAAAGCAAGCTGTGCTCCCCCAGAAAACAGTTCATCTGGGTATCGGATGCATGCCTGTAACTCCAGCACTCAGTAGGTAGAGGCAGGAGTTCCAGGCCAGCCTGGGCTATGAGAACAGCAAAACAACAGGAAATGGACGAGGAGGAAGGCGGGGGGGGGGGGGGAAGGAAAAGAAGATGGAGAAAAAGAAGGAGCAGGAGCCTGCTTTCCTAGAAATTTAGAGAGCACTGGGTAAGGCCCAGAACCTGAAATCCATTGTATTCGGGTCCACTTTTCTCCAAGTGAGACCCATCCTGACAGCCATCGTGGCAAGTATATCTGAAGCCCTTACTGTGCTCTGAGTACACCCCGAGGCCCCATCTATTACAGACACACCCTTGTGGGCTCCATGGGTCTCTTAAATCGACCCACATCCAGCACAGACCTGCAGAAATGCACATCTGCATGCAGCTACTAAATCGAGTTCTTCTGTACTGCAGGCAACAGCCCAGGCATTTGCTCCTCCAGCGCCACGGCAGTTGTTAATGTTTAAAAGTTACAGACGTTGGTTCTGAGGGATAGCAGAGTGCGTTATTGACTAATCCTCTCAGCAGGGACAGCAACAAATACTGGGCCGCATATTTGAAACCTCTTTTGAAATGCATCAATAAACTAAGACAGACTGAAAGATAAACTCCAAATCCTAAGGTCACATGAAAGGTATCCAGAAAGACAAGCGTTGCACCAGCATCACGTACATTGGCCTCCAGGTCTCACTAACTCTCAAGGTTGCAAGGGTTTGTCACTGAGGGGGTCTCTGGCAGGTGATCCCACCCTCAGCACAAGCCAGTGAATCTGGAGCCCAGAGGCTACAGTTCAGTATAAGAGTGATTTCAAAATAAGCCAACCCCCTTTCTGCTGGCTTGGAACCCTGAACTGTAAAAAAGCCTCCCTCTTGAGAAATCACTGCCAGCTAACCTTGTGTAGGCACACGGTGATCCAAAGCTACGAGGTAAGAATTCCTTTTCTTGTGATCCTGGGCTGGCAGCACCCACGGGCGTCTGACAATATCAAACAAAAGACACTCAGCAGGAAAAGAAAACCCCTTCAGATACAGTTCAGAGGATCACGAGAATGTTTGTTATTCGCTGCCTGTCATTGAGGCGCTGTTTATTTTGGCTCGTGCTTTCAGAGATTTGAGGCCATGTATGCTCAGCCCACTCACTTTGGAACTGTGGTGCAGTGAGGTGAAGCAAAGCTGCTTACCACATGGCAGTCTGGGAGCAAAGAAGAAAGGAGCCGGGATCTTTTCCCAACTCACCTATAGGGGCACACCCCCAAGGGCTTAATTCCTTCCATTAAGACCCGTTCTACAAAGGTTCAAAAATATCCCCAAGCACCGCCTGCCAGGGATCAAATGTTCAATACATGAGCCTCTGGGGGAATAGTTAAGATTACAACCACAATAACAAGCTTGTAGTCAATAAATAAATAAACAAACCTCAAGGGGCTTGCTGACATCCAGCCTAGCTCCAGGTTCAGTGAGGGACCTTCTCTCAAGGGAATAAGGTAGAGAGTTAGAACTGGATATTTGATCATCTGCTCGCTTCTACATGTACACTGATTTACAATGAATAACACACACATACACACAATAATAGTAATAATAATAATAATAATATTTCAAAACACGAGGAAACCAAACATCATGGGGGAAAAACCCCACACTACAAAGGAAAGCCAGGTCATGGCAGCTCACGAGCCGGGCCACCTTAGTGGGGATGCCTAGAGAGTGGACAGGAAAGTGCTGTTGGAGTCCATTGTGGGGGGACAGACAGGGCTGTTGCCCAACATCCCTTAGTAGCTGGGTGTCATGGTGCACACCTTTAATCCCAGTACTTGGGAAGCAGAAGCAGGAGGACGATCTTTGTGAGTTCGAGGTCAGCCTGGTCTACAAAGAGTTGTAGGACAGCCAGGGCCACACAGAGAAACTCTGTCTCAAAAAACAAAACAAACAAACAAAAATCCCTCAGTATACAGGAAAACCCCTACTACAAATTTAACAGCCCTGAGACAGTCATGCCGGGGCTGAGAAACCCTGAGATTATACATAATGTATAGCCCTAAGATTCATTATCATATATAACTTAGAGGAACTCGTGTACATTTGTTCAGATAAACAAAATGTTCAATGAATATACTGTCCTTCCAGAAAGGAGGAAAATTAACTCAGATATCCGCCAAGATCAAACGATAAGTTCTAACAATCAAACAGAAGACTTTGCAGTGGTGAAAAAAGATGAAACACGGGTGTACATGTGGATTAGCCTTCTAAAAATAATGTTAAATAAACGGAGCAGACCCAAAGATGACAGTAGAATATAAGTAAACACATTTGGAACAGCTGATAGGATGACAGAATTACTGCCAAAGAGGAAAAAATGAGTATGTGACCATTAGGGTGGTGGTTCTCAACCTGTGAGTCACAACCCATTCATAGGGGTCGCCTAAAGCCATAAAAAAAAACCACAGAAACCACAGATGTCTGCATTATGATTCATAACAGTAGCAACATTACAGATATGAAGTAACAATGAAAATAATCTTATGGCTTGGGGTCAGCACAACACGAGGAACTGTATTAAAAGGCCACAGCATTAGAGAGGTTGAAAACCACTATATTAGGCTTTCCTTAGTGACCGGAATAATAAGGGTCGAGAGAGAAAATGCCATGTCATGACTTTGGGGCTACTAGTAATTTTTTTTATGACTCCAGTAGTGATTTGGGTATTTGCTTTATAATTAACTGGCAAAGCATAGCATAGTGGTTCACACCTTTGATCTCAGCATTTGAAAAGCAGAAGCTGGTGGATCTCTATGAATTCAAGGCCAGTTTCACCTACAAAGTTAAGTTCCAGAACAGCCTAGTACTATATAGAGAGACCTGCTTGGGAGGGAAAAGGAAGGAGGAAGGGAGAGAGGGAAGAAGGGAAGGAGGAAGGGAAGGAGAGAGGGAAAGAGGGAGGGAGGGAGGGAGGGCGGGAGGGAGGGAGGGAGGGAGGAAGAAAGGGAGGGAGGGAAGAAGGAAGGAAGGAGGTACCTGTAGCATGAGGGCCTGCTTGTTGGGGTTTCTGTCCCACCCAGTACCCCACAACCGGCAAGTCCCAAAGAAAATCACAGAGTCTACATTAGGTTATAAACTGATTGGCCCATTAGCTCAGTCTTCTTATTAACTAATCCTTACATCTTACAGTAACCCATAATTCTTGTCTGTGTTAGCCATGTGGCTCAGTACCTTTTTCAGTTGTCAGCTCACATGTTGCTTCTTCAGTGGTCTGGGCAGGAATGGCGGGAGCTTCCTGCTTCCCAGAATTCTCCCATTCCCTTTGCTCCACCTCTACTTCCTGTCTGATTTTCCCACCTATACTTCCTGCCTGGCCAATCAGCATTTATTTAAAATATGACTGGCAGAATACAGACAACTCTCCCACACCAGGTACCTGGAGAGATGGCTCAGTGGTTAAGGTACTTACCCTTGCGGAGGACCTGGGTTTGGCTCCTAACACCAAGAGCAGCCTGGATGACCTGGCTCACAATCTTCTGTAACTCCAGTTCCGGGGACTTCAGCACCCTCTTCTGGCCTCCATGGGTTCCCTCAAACATGTGGTACAAACACACACATGCAGGCAAACACTCATACACATAAAATTTAAAACAAAAAAATTGCCAAACTGGCATTTATTATCTCATACTTTTCTGAATGGTGTCACATTTTCTCAACTAAAAATATTCTCAAAATAAAGCAGGAAAAACTGAATTGATCATGCTGATACTAGAAGACAGCTCTAAATTATCCAAAATACAGTTCAGAGAGGCAAGGGAATGGAATAATGAAATTATTAAAGATCAAATTGGAATTCCAGAAGACTGGAGAGAGTTAAAGGGCAGAGGCAACAGGTACAGAGTAAATGGCTGAAAATTTCTCAGAACTGAAAACCAGAGAACTGTGATACCGTCTACTAACCCAAGGTGAGCACCGTAAATAACAAGCAGTACCTAAAAACGCCAGGGTGAAATGTTCAGGATACCTAAAACTTTAAATATCAAAAAGAGAAAATGCTCAAAAGCAGTCCGAGAGAAAAGCACAATATGCCTCACTCCGATGGGGTGTGCTCCAGAGGCCGTGTCACTATGATGATGTCATCACTGCGGGCCTCCACAGCATGCTGGTACACGAGCTAGTTGTCCAGGTCAGTCACATGCCACGGCCTCTCGATGCAAGAATGCACTCGCGCGTTCAATAACAGATTACACACCACGCGAGAGACAGTTGGCAAACTAGAATAAGAATCCACAGAAAATACTCAGATTAGAATCCATAGTGAAGAACCCGAGGAGACAGGTCAGCTGGTGCAGAGCTTGCCGCTCATACGTGAGAACCTGAGTTCAAGGCCCAGGAACGCATGTAAAGAAGTCAAGCATCGTGGCACTATTTGCAATCCTTGTGCGTCAGAGGTGGCAGGGAGAGTGTTCTGGGGCTCACACGCTATCAGCTAGCGGGCTCAGCTCACTCCAGGCCAATGGGAAGCACGGTCTGCAGAACAAAAATAAGACAGAAAGCTCCCAGGGAACAAAACCCCAGTTTGTCCTCAGGCCTCCACATGCACATGTACATACATACACATAAGCACACATGCAGCACACACACACCAAAGTAATAAATACAATACATAGCGAGATATATGGTTAAAAGTCCCACACGCACACACACACCTGGAATACGAGAGGAGAAGATAAAATTTGGAGATACCGAGAATGTTCCAAAATGAAACCTCAGATTTAAGAACATCTGTGACATCCTCCCACCTAAATACCTAGGTACAGAGTACAGAACAGCAAGAATAGGAAGAACCCAAACGGGGGAGGGGGAGGGGCTCTTAGGATCAGGAAGGCAGGTTCTGTGAAAGAGTAAGATTGCTGGGTGACTTTTCAACAGAAAAACAATAAAACCAAGAGAAACCAAATGGGATCCAGAGTTCACGACTGCCTCGGGACAAAATTTACCCAGTGTTAGACTAAAGTCTATCTGAAAACAAATATATCTTGTGTGGCTTCATGTGAGTGTAGACTTAAGATACGCGATAATGCCATAAGAAGGCGAACATTAAAGTAGCAAGAGATCTTTATCACCTTATTTGAAAAGCACCAAACACCACTATGCTTGAATCTGACAATGCACCCCTCTGGGCCAGGAGTGAGGGTGGGTTGGGGAGGGAGGTCCATATTTTAAAGACTCTACTAAGTGGCAATGGAGAGAGGGGATAAAAAAATCTTTAGGGGGCCTAGCTGGAGGAAGTGGGGTCCAGACAGGCTTGTGAAGCTGTGCCCGGACCCCAGTGATTAGCCTGCACGTCTGGTTGTGTAGAAGCATGCTGTACGGTATGAGGAGTCTCCAGGATGTGCCTTCCTTTGTGTGAGGGACCGACTCTCCAAGGCCAGGAGTCAAAACAAATGTTTTCTTGTTCAACTAGTTTCTGTTGGGCATCCTGTCACAGCCACAAGCGACAAAACTGAAGCGAAGGCAAACCAACGATGCAAGCAAACCATAATTAAAAGAACACAACAAGCCAGGTGGGGGTGGCCCACACCTTTAATCCCAGCACTCGGAAGTCATAGGCAGGCTGATCTTTGAGTTCAAGGCCAGCCTGGTCTATACAGTGAGTTCCCGGACAGGCTCCAAAACTACAGAAAAACTCTATCTTGAAAAATGAGAGAGAGAGAGAGAGAACAACAATACAACACTATATACTGAATGGAGTAGAAGATGATGGAATAAATTGATTAAAAATAAAATTAAGAAGAAATTTTTATACATACAGGAGAAATAAAATACATACAGTAATATGATAGTGTTTAACCTCATATCTGTAACTGTTTGAATAATAATAAATCAAATACTTCAAAAATCAGCTTTTTAAATGCTAAGTGATATGCTCCATAACTTCCATGAAAATTAAAAGGTTGTAAAAAACTATAGCACACAAACACTAATCAAAATAAATTTGGGAGGCTGGAGCAGCGATGGCTCAATGGTTAAGAGCGTTGGCTTCTCTTCCAGAGGACCCAGGTTCAATTCCCAGCAACCACATGGCAGCTCACAACTGTCTGTAACTCCAGTTCCAGAAGATCTGACACACTCACACCAACAAACATAAAATAAAAGTTAAACAAATTTAAAAAAAATAATAAAGTTGGGAAGCCAAGCATGGCAGTGCAAAGTTTTAATAGGAGCACTTTGGAGGCAGAGGTAGGTGGATCTCTGTGAGTTCGACACCAGGCTGGTTCAAACAGTAAATTCTAAGCCAGCCAGGGCTACAGAGTGAAAGCCTGTCAAAGAGAGAGGGGTGAGAAGGCAAGTGGAGTAGCAATAATATCACACAAGTAAGTCTTAAAACATATTACCAGAGGGACTGGAGAGATGGCTCAGTGGTTAAGAGAACTGACTACTCTTCTAGAGGACCTGGGTTCAATTCCCAGCACCCATATGGCAGCTCACAGCTGTCTGTAACTCCAGGATCCAGCACCCTCACACAGATATACATACAGGCTAAAATACCAATAAAATAATTTTAGAAAAGACATATTACCAGAAATAAAGAGGCCAACAAGAACTAAAAAAATAATTTCATATAGAGAAACTCTGTCTCAAAAATTCAAAAATAGAACAAATTCAACAGAAAGACATTTTAAAAAATTCTGTGTTTATGTATCAGTAATACAGCCTTGAAATACAGTAAGCACCCCTCCCCTCAAATAAACAGATAAACACACAATTAGTTAGAAATTTCACCGTAGCTTTATCAGCAGATGACTTTGCGGATTAATTTTTGTCAATGTGGCATAGGCTAGAACGATTTGGGAAGAGAGAGCATCACCAGACTGACCCGTGGGTAAGCCTGTGGCACGTTCTCTTGATGGATGATGGATGTGGGCAGGCTCAGCTCATTGTGGGTGGTCCTCACTTGTATAAGAAACGGGCTGAGCACAGCAGGGAAGCAAGCCAGTAAGCTGCATTCCTCAGTGACCTCTGCATCCATTTTCTCTTGAGTTCCTGCCCTGGCTTCCCTGGATGACGGACTATAAACTCTAAGATAAAATAAACCCTTTATTTTATCTTAGAGTCATGATGTTTTACTATGAAATTTATTGTACATTAGATCTTTTATATACATGTAAAACCTATACATGCCATTATCACACCCTAACTTACACAGAGGCAAACTAAAAGGTCAAAAAGACTGCAAGGCCTGGGGAATTTATTTGCTTATTTATCTATCTATTTTGTGATCACTGGTGTTTGCTTGCATGTGTGAGGCTGTCAGGAGCCCTGGAACCGGAGTTACAGACAGGTGTGATCTGCCACGTGGGTGCTGGGAATTGAACCAGTGCTCTTAACCACTGAGCCATCTCTCTAGCCCCCGCCTAGAGCAACTTTTAATGAAATGATTAGCAATCCTAACCCAAACTCAAAACTCAACCGTGGCATGGTGCACTTTTCAAATACACGTGGGTCGTTAACCGTGCAGCATCTCTCTCAAGCCCTGAACCTGATGAGCTCAGTGCATATTCTGACCACTGAGGAGTGCCTTAGTCCAGCCTCTGCTGCTGTGGCAGGTAACCACAGACTGGGTGAGTCATAAGCAAGCTATTCACTGTGGTCTGGAGACTAAGAAGTCCAAGACGGGAGTCGGGAGAGGGGCTGGACTTGGTGAGGGCCTTCTTGTAGCTTTGTAACACAGTGGACGGGTAGGAAGTGGGGCAAGCTAACCCTTTCACTAAGTGATCTAACAAGGAGCTGGGGAGATGGCTCAATGGGCAGAGCCCTTGCTGCTCTTGCAGGGGACTCGGCTTAGGTTTCCAGCGCCCACATCAACACTAACAAAAATAGAAATGATTTGCTCCGTTTCTAGAAAAGACACAAATATTAGCAAAAAGTTCTCGCAAACAAAACTACAGAGTAGACAGGCATGGTAGGTGGTGGTGTGATCTCAGCACTTAGTCTGGAGGACCGAGAGTTCAAGGCCACCCTCACCTACATAGTGGCTTCAATACCAGTCTGGGGAACATGATCCTCTTTCCAAAACAAAACCCAAAAAACAGAAACAGCATCAACAAATCTCTAGCACTCACTGCAAGGGCTCCTAAGTGGAATCTTCTGCATATTTAATGAAGGGCTGAGCACCGATCTGCTTAACAAATTCCTCAAGCTAATGGAAAACACTTCCTAATTTGTATTATGAGAGTAGTATACTCTTGGTGCTAAACCCTTGGAAGGAAGGAAAATCACACAGCAATCTCTCTCATGGTCATAACTGAACCCCTAAATATATTATCAAATAATTAAATATAGTGATATATAAGATAAAAATTGTAAACATTATATATGAAAATAATTCAACATTTAAAAATCAATGCAGTTATGATAACACATAGCAAAGAACAAAACAAAAAGGACACATTCTCAATATACGCAAAAACTTTTTTGATAATATCCAAATCTTTTTAAAATATCTATTTTATTATTTTTAATTATGTCTGCATGTGTGCCTTTGTGCACATTACTGCAGTGCCCAGAGTCAGAGACCTTGGGTCCCCTGGAGCTGGAGTTACAGGAGGATGTGAGCCACCTGATGTGGGTGCCGGGAACCAAACTCAGGTCTTTTATAAGAGCTGAGTGTGTTCTCAACTGACGAGCCATCTCTCCAGCACGCCTCCCCCAAATCTCACTTAGAAAGTAAAACCACTGCAAAGCAGGGCTAGCAAAGAATTCCATTAATCTGATTTTTAAAGTCTCTCTATAAAAGTAACATCAAATATCCTGCTTAGTAATAAAATATTCAAAGATTTCTCCTTTGAGATCAGGTATAAATAAGAATGTCTGCTACCGAGGCTTCAACATTACACCAGAGCCAGAGGCGCTGCAATAAAGCAACACAAAATTAAAATGGAGAAGATGTAATGAAATGTGGCATATGCCTTTAATCCCAACACTTTGGGGGCCAGGGACGGGGAGACTTTTGTGGAGCTCAAAGCCAGCCTGACCTACATAATGAGTCCTTGTCTCAAGAGGGAGAGGTAAAAGACGGGGCTAGATCAGTGGTTCAGCAGTTTTAACACCACTTGCTGTACAATCATGAGGACAAGAGTTCCGACAGCAGCGCCCCTGTAACAAATCTATAAGTACAGCTTCAAGTCGGCAGAGACGAAGGAGGGGAGCTGGAACTTGCTGACATTCAGCCCAGCGGAGAAAATGGGAGCCTCAGATTCAGGGAGAGATCCTGTCTCAAAGATCCAGATAGGCAGAGCAAGAGAGGACACCTAATGCACTCTGAGCATGCAGAGACATGCAGGTGTGTCCATGTCCCTGTGAACACACACACACACACACACACACACACACAAATTAGTTAGAAAAAGATTTTCAAATCAAAGAAGAAGAAAAGTGGAGTAAAATGTCAAAGGAAAACCCTGTTATTAACCAATAACGACTGTTAGCATAGTGTTTCTAAACAATTTATACATTTATACAGCGACTATTAAAATTTGTAGGCTCATTTAGCACTTACATTAAATTATTATTAAAAACCTATTTTATCTCAATGCATACGCAGTAAACCCACCATGAATGTGGGCTGCTTTATCCTGAGGACCTGGGTCACAAATAGGTGAAAAGGATCCAAGCATAGGCATTCACCTCTCTCTGCATCCTAGCGGTAGATGCAATGTGACCAGCTGCCTCACCCTCCACCATGACAGACCATACCTTCAAACTGTGGGCCAAAGTAACCCTTCCTGCCTTCAATTTTCTTTGATACAAATTGTGTCATAGCTACAGAAAAGCAGCTAATAAACCAGGTTATGACGTTCTGCCTTGCTATAGGCACCCAAGCAATGGAACCAAAAGTCATGGACTCACATCGTGTACTGATGAGTTGTTTTGGTCAACCTCACACAGTAGAGTCACC